AAATCTAAGCAGGTACTCAGACTGTAGTGAAGGAGAACACAGGTGAGGGCAACCGAATTGTATTTATCGAAAATTGCAGAGTTATTTGGCAAAATGGGAAAACCATATCGTAAACCGTTAATTTGCAAAACATCAATCCATCATATCTAACTGGACTGTTCCTGTTGCAAAACATCAATCCATTGTCTGACATTTTACTGTTCATGCTATTTCATACAAATCTCATTGTGTTCACGCTCTTCTTTCTTTCTTGATCTTCCGCCATCTTCTGCTGCCAGACATTACGTTTTCACTCGCGTCATATACTACTTATAAGTAGCGCGCACCACAAGACTAGTCATATTGATACAGATGGTATCCATAAATCGATGAGGTTCAGTGAAAGATAAGGCATGCCAGAAAAACTATTTCTCTACGATAACAGTACAAATATTCGTATCAAGTTAACTTAACAACTGAATATAAACAAAATTTAGTGCAATTCTTTGCTAGTTTTGTTTGCTCAATAAACATGTGAACGATTTCATTTAGAAAAATGAATAAAGAGCTTCAGTGTTCAATTGTTCAATGTTATTTTATTCTCCTAAAGTTTGACGATTGAACACTTCATGTTATTTCTTTATTTCTTATTTCTCCATGAATACATCAATCAGCCAACAGACTCTTTCGAGATGAAGACCGGTGTCAGGCAAGGTTGCTTACTCTCACACTTTCTCTTTCTCCTGGTCATCGACTGGATTATGAAGATGTCAACATCAGGAGGGAAGCACGGTATCAACTGGACAGTTAGGACGCAGCTGGACAATCTGGACTTCGCAAATGACCTGACTCTTCTATCGCACACTCAACAACAAATGCAAGAGAAGACGACCAGTGTAGCAGCAGCCTCTGAAGCAGTAGGTCTCAACATGCATAAAGATAAAAGAAAAATTCTCCGATACAACACATCATGCACCAACCAAATCACTCTTGATGGAGAAGTCTTGGAGGACGTTGACACTTTTCCATATTTGGGCAGCACCATCGACAACCAAGGTGGATCCGATGCACATGTGAGGGCGTGGATTGGCGATGCAAGGGCTGCATTATTACAATTGAAAAATATCTGGAACTCCAAACAAATATCAACCAACACCAAAATCAGGACCTTGAGTAGCTGCTTTTAGTCTCGTCGTTCTCCAGTCGACCTGCCTGGCATGGCAGAACCTTCAGGAACATATGTTCCAGCCAGTATAGCTCGGTTGAGTCATCACGATGGGCAAGCTCGACCACCACGTGTTAAGGTAGCAGCTATGGTCGGACGAAAGTCACCGATGATTAGAGACCTTGAAATCGTTTTCAAGTGCATCCATTCGTTGTAATCTCTCAAATCCTAATCTTCTGGATTCGTCAGCACCTCTACCTTTGTCTTTCTAACTTATCTCACTGAATTATACTTCTTGAATAATATCTTCGAACCCTAGTCTTCTTTATTAACATTAATACCTCTACTATCTTTATCACTATGGGATTTGAATTGACATTTGTGTCTCTGTGCTAATGTGGTATGGCAACATGAACTTATGTACAAACGTACGAAGTTCTACGTTGCAACTGACTGACTGAATCTGCAGTATGATATTTCGTTAAGTTGTATACACAACAAATAATTAATTATTTAAGCACAATCCCCCAATTAGGCGTATACTTTTCACAGTCTCTAAAGGATTTGATTGTCAGTTACAACTTGTTGTGTATAGTAATCATATGAAAATATCTACATAGTAAAAACAATACAACGTTTTAATTTTACCACAACGTTCAATGCATGTAGGAAAATTTAGTCAAATTCATCATTGGTTACAATCAATGTTCAGATAGAATCATTTTAATTTTTATCGTGAAAGAGTGTTTTTTTCTAAATTTGAACTTAATGTCATGGGATGATTGAGATTGTGGAATATTTTCTCCTAGATATATCTATTATTTGGACCAGTTATTTAGTTTTTAAAAAGTTAATTGGTGCGAGCTACTTATAAGTAGTATATGACGTGAGTGTCAACGTAATGTCTGGCAGCAGAAGATGGGTGAAGATCAAGAAAGGAAGAGTTAGAACACAATGGAATTTGTATGGAACGCATGAATAGTGACAATGGATTGATGTTTTGCAACAGGAACAGTCCAGTTCGATATGATGGATTGATATTTTGCAAATGAACGATTTACGATATGGTTTTTCCGATTTTACTGAGTAACTCTGTAATTTTCGTTAAATACAATCTGGTTGCCCCACCTGTGTTCTCGTTCACTACAGTATGTGGAATGCTCTTGTTGGCCTTCGAAAATTCTAAAGAGTTAGTTTAATTTTCGTGGCAAGCCCTACCTAAATCCGCAGCAGATTTCTAAGGTGAACAGCTACTGACTATAGCTCCCCATACTGAGAGAAAGTCGGATTAATAATATTCTCGACCTCATTCACGGAGGTCAATGCTCGGCAACATTATTGAGAAGAGTTCAGTATAATATATATTCATATAAACTGATTTGCATTACGGGGTTGTGAAGATTGTTAAGTTACACAGTTTTGAAACCATGAATCGATCTATCACTGTTAGACCACCATTAGAAACCTGCAAACACTGGACAATGGCCGTTTCGTCCTGGCATGGGACTCATCAGCAGTGCGCATCCACGACTCCTGCACCCCACAGGAGTCTGCGAACGCCCTAACCGTTAGACCACTGAGCCGGTATCCAACGGTGTTAATGTGTCTAACTTGATCAAATTCACGGAGTTGCGCAACCTCATACACAGTCTTCGGTAGTAGTAGTTACTGTCTACACCCGAAATGATTTAACAAATAATTTTTTCCTAATGTTAAAAAGTCCATTTTAAATAATGAAGTTCTATTCAATGATAATAGACTTTAAAATTACACTGGGTACAATAATTCATTCATTCAACTGTTCGATATACACATAAATTTGTTTAAATCAACAAAGTATTCATGATATTAAATCTTATATACATTTTTAACCAAAAAAAATTTGTTCCAAATAAGAAAATTACCATTGATCTTTCATTTTTTCTATCTCTACTAGCCATTGAAATCATTCAATGTTCAATAGAAATAATGATAACATCCATACATCGAATTCTTGATCAATTTTAGTTGTTTTAATGACAATGACGTTTACGGAATTATTTTTTTTACATCATTGTTTCATTGAACCTAATAAAAAGGAAATCTATCGATTTTGACAGCGAAACTGATCTCCTATGCCACAGTATTGAACATTGAACCAATTGAACAAATGAATTTTTTTCATTTTGTCTCATTGTTTCACATCAATCGGATGATTAATTAATTCTCTTGCTCTAACATATTGTTTAAGACGTTTCTGTTGATCATGTTGTTGCTGTTGCCGTTGGTGATGATGACTGGATAGTTTTTGATTTTGTTTAAATTGACAACATGTACACAATGATAATAATGACGATGCTGGTGACGATGCGGATGTTGGCGACGGAGATGCTGGTGTAGACGAGGATGATGTTGATGATGATGATATTATACTATTAAATAATAAAATTTTTAATTTTTTTCTAAATGCATTACTCATAAAACAATAGATTAATGGATTAGACATATTATTTAAGTAGTATGTATTATATGCTAATAAATTAAATTGTATTAATTTATTAGCTGTAAGTAATGCTGGTGTAAATACAATTATATAGACAATAGCTACAACAAATAATACACTAGCTGAACGTATTTCACGCCATAATGTACTCTCAGTGATATTTTTAATGGATAAATTCATTTTTATACGATTTGTGATACTTTTACGATGTATGGCTGTTGTTGTTGTCGGTGTTGAGGTTAAATGTTCAATGCTTTGATGATTATCATCAGTGTTATTGTTTAAATCATTCAATAAAATATCATTTTTCATTTGATTTGAATGAACTCGCTTCGACTGATCATTATTAATCATCATGTTCATAGTTTGTTGATACGACGATGTGATATCATTGTTTATTGCAGATGACACATTCCAATCACGTGTTGTTGTCATACGATGTGTTTTAATTACAACACGTAAAATTAATGAGTATAAAATAATCACTGATAGGATGCATAGAATAAAACTGGCTGTATTACCTTTTTGTAAAATATCATAAGTTAATTTTTGTAAATATGTTGCATTAGAAATTTCTGGTGTATCACAGCATTGCCTGATGTTTGGTTCATCTTCTGTCACTTCTAAACTGTGATGTAATGCACCGAGAATACCATAAATAATACAAAAGATAGCCAAGCCTAATGTAAGATATTTTGCACGTTTCATTGTTAATATACGACGTAATGGATGACATATGGTTAGGTAACGTTCTAATGCTATGGCGATAATTAATAATGAACTAAACATTATATTACATATATTTAAAAATGCATGTGTTTTACACCAAATATCTGTGGGTGGTTGTAAATGTACATATTCCATGTAGAATGTCAATGGCACAATGAAACAACAAACCATTAAATCAACACATGCTAAAACTAAAATGAAAAATGTTGGTGTACCAGTAGTTGTTCTAGTGAATAATTGTTCATTGGATTCGTGAATTTGTACAATGTAATGATTGGATTTATTGGGACTGTCATTACTCGGATTGTTGCTAATATTGTTTGACGCATAAATTGTTGAAGATAATTCATGTTTTTTATTTAATAAATGTAATTGCTGATTATAATATACTTGACGATATTTTAAATGTAAATGTGGCCAAAAATAATTTTGTATGTAGACGCCTAGAACAAGTAAATTTCCAATTGTGCCTAACAGTGACACAGAACCAAGTAGAATCAATGTACTTATCCATATTAGATCAATGGGTGGTTCAATGTTTTTCAAAGATTGAACACTTGAATTCGATAAATTCATTAATTTTCAAGATAGATTGAAAACATTTTTAAGAAAATTTTTCGTAAGTTGTTTTAAATGAAATGTTTAAATTGTTTGAATATGAATAAAAATGTAAAATTAATTTTTTTCAAAAAATAAAAATGTGTTATTTTTATATTGACCAATTAAAATGCAAAGAAAATTCTAATGTTTTGATTGGTTAATTATCGTATGGTTTGTTTTATTTTGATTGGTTAAGCTGACAGTTGGAACTGAATGAACAGTATGTGAACATGTGTCAGATAAACTGAAGTTGATATGCTTACTTAGTGAGAGTGAACCGGCAATGGCAATACTTTTGTATGTACTTTCTGTACTGATACATTCAAACTGAAATAAGTGTATTCGCTGTTAGGAAACATATTAAGAAAACTATACACTTCCGAAATCTTACTTGTTATGCTTTATATTAAAGCTAAGTTTGATTATGTCATTATGCGGTTGTGGAGATGATTGATTTTCATCTCGAGCATCAGTCAGTCATTGTTATATCATTACTGCAGACCTGAAAACGCTGAATGTCCGTTCCAACCTAGCATTGGTCGAATCTTCAGTACACATTCACGAATCCACTAGTAAGAATCGAACCCGGATTCTTTTCTCTCATGTGCGAATGCTCACTTTCTTGAACAAGGAGCTGACATACAAAGTCGTTAATATCTAATCAACTCAAGGTTTAATGAGACCATCATCAATTGCCGTGGATTGAATGATTTTAGAAATTGACACCGTTGGATACAATCTGAAGGGTCATAGGGTTAATCGTTCGCGCCCAATAGCAAACGACCCATGTTTGGTGCTCGCTTGCGAGATCATGAGTGTCCAATAATGGTCAATCCCTGTTGGGGAAGTTAGATCCCCAAAACTCGCTTGATAAATGCCTGATTTTGGATTTCACGTTTGCAAGCATGGGCTGATCAGTTGACCTTGAGATTTCATTTACCATCAAGAAAATCCATAGCTGTGATTGGCTGCTGTGTATTTTAGTGTTCTATTTTCGTAACTGTCCTAAGGACGATTCTATGATATATAAATAAACGAGAACTGTATGCTTGATTGTACTGTGATTGCTGAGTGTTTGTAGAATATACCTTTCTACGCTTACAAAACGTTCTATCTTCAGCTTCGGATTCAAGGTAGCCTACGTACACGCTGGTAATTTCATAAAGTCTAGATTTCCTCAAACGTTTTTGGAGTTTCCGTAGTAAAAAATCTACGAGTGGATAGGCATTTGAAAAAACACCCAATAAGACCTACTTTTATCAGTACTTGATCAATACAGAAAAACATCAAAATATCTGCAGAATACGTTCTCATTACTGTGTGCTAAAAAATGACTGATCACGTAAAAGCCATTATTAATAATAGTCAGTCAGTAAGATGCAACGTAGGACTTCGTACGTAAGTACATCAGTTCATGTTGCCATACCACATATTAGCACAGAGATATAATTGTCAATTCAAATCCAATAGTAGTAGAGGTAGTAAAGGTATTAGAAGTAATCGGAGAGGTTAGGATTAGAAGATATTATTCAAGAAGTATGATTCAGTGTGAGAAAAGTTTAGAAAGTCAAAACTAGAGGTGTTGAAGAATCCAGAAGATTAGGATTTGAGAGAACACAAAGAATAAATGCACCTGCGCAATCGCAAGCGGTTTTGAGCCATATCATTCAAGGTCTCTAACCATCGATTATTATCATCTCACGGACCCTAACCAAGTAGTCGACATTTACCGACATGGCTAAGTCCACTCGTCAATGACTTCATGAATTTCTGCGATGTTTTGGTTTGGCCACCCCTAACTTTCTTCCAACCTATTCCAACACTACAAAACAAAGCTCTTCGAGGCAGGCGGTAGTTAGGCATACGCAGCACATGTCCCAATCACCTCAACTGATGAAATTTCACTACTTCATCAATCGATCTTTCATTCTTACCTAGCACCCGATTCCTAATAACAGCTTTGCTCACTCGGTTGTCCCAGGATATACAAGCAATGCTTCGAAGACACCTATGATCGAAAGCTAGTAACCTACGAATAACCTCTACTCTGACTGTCCATGTTTCACAGCCATAAAGTTAGACGGTTAGGGTTAATAATAATAATAATAATAATAATAATAATAATAATAATAATAATAATCCTAAAAATCATTTTATTATGAAGATTATTGGTGTTTGAACTACATAAGTAATTATTGCCTTTTATTAATTGCAATTATTCTACGATTTAATTACTGTTATTCATCGTGTTCATGAATCATTGTTCAATGAAACATGTTTACTGGGTAGTTTTTGTGTAATTATTTCCCCTCTTATTATAAACTAATTTTCATCACAGATTGTTATCAATGGGTAAGTAATAATGAATGAAGCCTAGTCATAATATTCAAACTTGAAACGTACGTAACGTACTGATACGCTGGAATGCTATTACAACTTCACCTTACTCGGTAAAGGAAAACAATGACACGATAGGCTATTCAAAATCTTTTTTTATCCTCGGCATGGCCGATGATATCAAGAAGTCTTGACAAGGCGTAGAAAGAAAGAGTATTCTACAAGGACCCAGAATATACGAATTCGACAAGTACGCAACTTGGGAGAGTCACAAAAATAGCGTACTAAAATAATCCATCAACCAATGACAGTCAGGGATTTTCCGGGTGGGAAATGTAGGCTCAAGGTTAACTAAGCGACTTATGCGCAAAAACATAAAAAAAAAATGCAAACTAAGGACGCTTTCCAAGTGATTTTTGGCGATCGGACATCCAAAAACACCTACAAACCTTCTTATTTACTTAGGTCTGTTACCTTTAAATGGAACATAGGAAGCTGACCAGTATTCTTAAACCTGTTCCGTCCTGACACTACCTTCCTCACTTCTCAACACAATTGCTTTTCATTCTTTTCATGTCTATTTCCATTTCTCGGCATAATGTGTTCTTTAGTCTTCCGCCTTTCCTTTGGCTGAAGGTGGTAATGTCGAACTTCAATCAGTCTATGATATTGTACAACCAACATCAGCAGTTGTCATTGATTATTTTCGGCTAAACATTGACAACGTTTGTGACTATTTCACTTGTCAAAGGGTGGGGGTAATTATTCGCGCTTAATATTGAAGAACATGGGTTCGGCTTCCTATTGCAGGTTCCTCAGTGTCCACTGATGGCATAGTCTAATGTTAGGAGGACATTGTTATGAGATGTTTACACGGTTATTTGGCTTCAGATGGAGAGTGGATGACGGAGTTGATTTGAGAATACTGGTCAGCGGCTGATGATTCACTAGGGGTAACAGGAGTAATCACGTAGGTAAGAATTTCATTGATGTATCAGTTAAATTTTTTTAAAAAAACTGGTTATTTCGTTTCTTCTCGTTCATCAAATTACAGATGAAGTAAAAATGATTTTGTTAGGTTCGTCACCAAGTACGCTTGAAACAATTACGAAATCAAATCAGTCGATAAACGCGAACGACACAATGAACCAGGGTCCAGGTAGGGTACCCTGAACTGAAACGGCTAAAGAGAAGTCTTGATAAGCAATCACAATACAATAAAGCACACAAATCTCGTTCATTTATACAACATAGGAACGTCCTTGGGACAGTTACGAAAATAGAACACTAAAATACACAGCAGCCAATCACAGTCATGGAATTTCCTGTTGGGAAATGAAATCTCAAGGTCAACTGATCAGCCCATGCTCGACAACATAAAATCCAAATTAAGGCATTTATCAAGCGAGTTTTGAGGATCTAACGTCCCCAACAGGTTTAAAAAGTAATCTTACTTTCATGCAGTTTCAAAAATAGCATGCTACGGTATTCAGAAGAATCATTTTTAAATAAAAATATCGAGATATCAAAGCTTATTCCAAGATATTTCTTATTGTTCGTGTGGAAATTCTCGGAGTTCTAAGGAAAAGAGGTAACCAATGTAGTTGTTGGGGATGTTAGATCCACAAAACTCGCTTGATAAATGCCTTATTTTGGATTTCACGTTTGCGAGCATGGGCTGATTAGTTGACATTGAGATTTCATTTCCCACCACGAAAATCCATCGCTATGATTGACTGCTGTGTATTTTAGTGTGCTATTTTCGTAACTGTCACAAGGACGTTTCTATGATGTATAAATATACGAGAGTTGTATGCTTGAATGTATTGTGATTGCTGAGTGTTTGTAGAATATACCTTTCTACGCTTACCAAGACTTCTGTCTACAGTTTGGGATTCAAGGTAGCCAACCTGGATGCTGGTTCATTGTCCAGTTCGCGTTTCTCGACTAAGCTGAACTCGTAATAGCTTCAAGCATACCTAGTGACGCACATAACAATAGTTCAACCGTTACCTTGCGATCGATAGATGCTGACTCAGTGGTCCCGGGGTTAAGCATGTTCCCACAGAACCGATGGTCCTAGTCGTCTGGTGCTCATTGTTAATATGCGCCACACTGAGACAAAACGACCGTCCAATGATTACCAAATTTCTAACTGATTGATTGATCAGTTCATTGCAACTCGCAATAAATTAATTCTGACTGTCTATCATCCATCTTTGGAATGTAATCAAATGTCATAAAATTGAATGTAGGCAGTGGAAAAAAAAGCACATATTAGTACCATAGATTAATCTTAATGGAATTGTTAGTTTTGTACAGTGGCATCATGATAGAATCTTTTTTTTCGTCTATCAGAAAAATAATTTACTTCAGTGTATAAAATGAAAGCTACTTTTTCCTACCTTTTTTTCCTTACATGCTGTGGCTAAACACTGACTGCATAAGATTAGGGGAAAATTAATGGCATGTGTTTTCTGGGCAACTTTTTTTGAGAGAAAAAAACAACGGAGAGTTACATAACTTCTTTTCAGATTGGCATGTTTGTTTTTTGTTTGGTTTTTGATTGAAATAGAAAACTTGTGATTATTGTGAAGTGATTGAACAACTGTTTGATTTTTAAATTGATCTATTCACCAAGATGAAACTGGACAGTGAGATGGATAACATCGCAAAATAGTTT